GGTGAGAGACGGTGTCAAAGGCCTTGCTGAAGTCCAGAAAGACTACATCCACCGCGACACCTGCATCCATGGCCCTTGTGACCTGATCGTAAAAGGCAATCAGGTTGGTCTGACATGATCTCCCCCTAATAAATCCATGCTGATTGCCCCTGAGCATCATTTCTGATGCCGGCCCATCACAAATGTGCTCCTTCATGATCTTCTCAAAGAGTTTCCCCAGGATTGAGGTAAGACTGACGGGCCTATAGTTGCGGACACCCTCGTCTCACCCCAGAGTCCACTCCAAATGCCCCCCTCCCCTCCACTGCCGACACTGCTGTGGCCACCTGCGGGCAGTCCCTGCTCAACCCACTCTCACTGCCAATATCACCGTGGTCACTTGCAAGCAATCCCCACTCACCACCACTGCACCCCCGTCGCCAACAGCGCTGCCACTGCCTGCAGGGCCACGCGTCATTCATGCTTGCGACTATAGCGTTCCACTTCTGGTCAGCAATGTATGACAGTGTATCCCAAAGTAGCCGATATGCTTGTGTCGGCTGCCTTCCCCCACCCTGCCCCAACACATTTGTTCCCTACCCAGCACCTGCAGTAGCACTTCCCCCAACCTTGCTAAGACCTTTGAGAACGATTTATAATACAAATTCAATAACATGACTAGCCTCCAGTTCTTGATGTGCTCCTGCCCCAACCTTTCTTAAAGATCAGAAGCAAAACACCCTGTGCAAACTCCTCCCCTACCCAACCCCAATCCATCATTTTCCTAAACAGAGCCAATAGATCCCCCCTTAACTAAATCCCAGAACTTCAAGTAAAATTCCACCGGGATCCCGTCAACTCCCAGTGCAGGTCTCTTGTCCTGCAGGGGCAGAGTTTGACACACCACAGTCAGGACTCTCTCAGAGGTGCAGGCGGTGGGAAGCACTTAGAAAGCACTAGATGCCTGTGGCTGCTTTGAAACCTCCTGATGGCTGTGGGCCAGAAAATGTTGAAAAAGCCCAGTGGTAAAGGCTGGACACAGCCCTGAGAAAACTTCGCATTCCCTTGGGCCTGGGCATGGCAGACACGTGCTCCACCCACCCCCCAGCAACGACCACGTGGAGGATAGTGGGCAGGAGCCTGGGAGACTCATGCGCATGCGCAGAGAACCTAGTCCCTTAGCGTTAGCTACAGAACTGCATGGAAGAGCCCACTGCGTGGGGTGGGGGGAAAGCCTGAGCAATAATGGTACGTTTCCCCCTTCGCGCCCGCAATGCACTGCACAGCCACCCCCAAGGGAAATAGCAAGGTTACGTGTTTGTCTCTGTATCCCCTTCCTTGTATTTATCCTGCACCAAGCTTCCCCCACCAATAAATAGTACGGTCCTCCGTGATGGGGCCAATTAAAAAAAAGGGTTCATGCAGTGTCACGAGTTGCTGGGAGGAAGCAGCCAGAGCTCGATACAGAAGTCACCCCTCCACAGCCACTCAGCCCCTCTCCGTAGGCGGGACATTCCGGGCTTGATTGGCAGCACCCTTCCCCAATGACGAGGGCGCCTTCTTGGATGGACATGCCTTCGAGTCAATGAGAAGAGTCTCATGGGGAGGGGTGGGGAAAACAAATGGGGCCGGAGCGGTGGGCGGATGATGGACAGCTCCTGCAGCCAATGGTTGTTCCGGATAAGGCCCGCCCCTTCCCCGAGAGGTGAGGCTGTTGCTAGGAAACCGCCGAGGCCTGAGGCGCGTGCGGAGCATGGCGAAGCTGGCCGCCAAGTGCCTGCTGGCCGGTGAGTGCTGGGAGGAGGCTGCGGGACTCCCGCGGCTTGGCCCTGGGGCCTGAGGGGGCCTCGAGCCTTAGGGGCCACGTGGGGGTGTCGCGGCCGCTAGGCCTAGTAGGTAGAGCCAGGCGTGGAGCGGGGGAGGCTGGGATTGGATGCAAAACCCCTTTTTTGCGGGGGGTCCGTGCTTCTTCAAGGGACTTAACAAAACGGGAACCTGCGAGCTTCACTTCGTAGATCTACTGGGTGCAAAAAGTAACGAATGCAATATAAACCTTGGATTTGAGGCGTTACAACCCACATAGCATCTGACACCTCGGGAAACCTGCCTCCTGTTGACCACTGGCTTTCATGGGGGGTCTGGTCAGACCCTCGGAACTCAACTTGTAAAGAAGTTTTTCCTTATGTCCAATCTGAACTTCACTCAGTTTGTGCCCTTTGTTTCTAGTCTCCTTCACACTTTTCCCTCCCTCCCCTCCGCCTCCCATCTCTACCCGTTGTCTTCCCAACTTCCACCCACTTGCATTTTCACAGACATCTTCGTTGTAAGTTAGCTTCTTTTCTACCTTGGAGACTACATAACACCAGCAGAGTCTCCCTATGCCTGGTCAAAGGTGTTTGTGCCCAAAAGCTTGCTAAGAACTTTTTTCCAGCTATTTAGTTGGGGTAATAAAAGAGATCACATCTACCCAAACAACTTGCCTGCTCCTTGAAAGGAGCTAGCAGCCTGTGAGGTGCTTGCAGGTGGCTAATGACACTCACCTAATCAGAAGAGGGCTCTGGCTGGAGCTATGTAAGCCCAGAGCCTGAGCCCATCCGTTAGGGCTGTGCAAAGCTTTGACTTAATATTCGATTCGACAAACATTCAACATATTTGACCTTGAAAAGTGAAAGTCGAGTCAAATAGCAGCTGGTCGAATAGCTGTCGAATCGAATACCGGAAGTCGAATATTAACAGCACGGGTCGAATATTTGACAAGGGTCGAATATTCGACTTGCCAATACTGGATTCCCTGTGGTGGGAGAAAAAAAAGGGAGGTAAGGGGAGAGAGGGAAGGAGTGCTTTCATGACTGACATGTGTGGCTGGCCAGTGACCTGTCAGCATTCTCTGAGGTCCGTTCCAATCCCAGTGCTCTGGGGGAGGGCCAGAGAAAATGCATAAAAGGCAGCAGTTTTTCAGCTCCCTGATTTCTGCCTTGGGGTCAGTTTCTGAGCTGTTGGTGTTCTCCAGCACCTCTGCATCAGACCACGACGGCTGGAAGCCCTGATCTTCAACAGATTCCCTACTTGCAACGCTAGCAACAGGGATTTCTGAGAACTTGGTGCTTTTATTTTATAACTACTTTTCATATTAGTTTACGGTTATATTGGATAGGGTTAGTAGTAGCCTAGGATCTATTCTATATATAGGAATTTAGTTTATATATTTTTTTTTTTATACATCATTCATTCTTTCCACCACACCAACGCTTCTCAATATATTATCTACACACACAAACACATTTACATAACATCCAGAAATCTAATCTGCGGTGCACAGCACACTTAGAGGTTCCAGTTTACATATGAAGGAACACATTATGAAGCAGGGTGGAAAGGCAGGTGGCCACACTGGCCAGCCTGCACAAAGGGGAGCAAGGGGGGTTGTAAGCGGGAAAGCTGCAGTTTCTCCCCGCACCAAACTCAGACGCAGCCTCTTTCCTCCCGCTGCAAGAGATGAGGCTGCTACAAGCAGTAAAGAGGGGAGCAGCAGTACCACCAGAGCCACTGCCTGTGCCTGAGACTCTCATGTCCAGACACAGCAGCCACAACCTCTCTCACCATAACTGCAACCAGCACAGCAGCGCACTCCACCCCTGTGTCACTGCCTGTGCTGAGCCTCCCAGCGCCAGAAGAAGAGGTGACGCTGGCTCTGGATCTCAGTGTCCTGGCAAAGGAAGTTCTGGGGAAGCAGGGGGAATCACTCGAGTTTGTGCTCGACACCCCTCAGGTTTTTTCCTTTC